CTTTTGACTGATAATTTTAAATAATACAAAAATGTATGAATGAATTTCAAAATCGAGGGCATATATTGCCTGTTTATCCGATATGAAGTACCTGGATTTGTGTATCCAAAAGTTCTGATAACCAGTACGGTCTAATGTGTAAATTACGGTATATTGATCCTGCCCCCATAAATGTTTAAATTTAAAGTGAAAAAATTCACGAAGAAAGCAATGGGGACCAAGAATAGGTGATGTGCATCTTATTAGAATTTTATTACACGAACTGGCCTTAAATTGAGAGAATAATGTAGCACACATCAGAGAAGTTATCTCAAGAGTTACGCCATAACTTGCCTTTTTTTGCCATGACATTGTCAGTTTATTTTCAATTTATGATTTTGAATGGCCCTTTGGTATCTTTTGTCTCTCTTGGTTTTTGCTTAGCAAAAAAGCATCAAATAACAATTTAAAATCTTTGGTTTAACTGGCTGGTAAAAGAACCCACCATTTCCCCCACTCAAAATGAGCAGAAAAACCACCCACCTCAGACTTCAATGAGACAGCAGCCAAAAGAAAAAATCCAAAAGAAAGCTGTATTTAAAGAATTTCAGGTCAGAATTTGTTAAAAAAAAAACCAACCAAAATAAAAAGGTGATATCTGTGAGTGGTATTTTCTGGAGTCAAAGTCACAACATTTAACGGTTAAAGGGTCCTTATGTTTCCTGTACAATCTTTCACATAACTAGTTAACTGGTTATCCTTAATTTATGGAAAAGAAACGGCTATGGTGTATCAATTCATGACCCAAAATCATTATGCATACGTAAAAAACAGAGGAGGAATGCTTTTATTACTGTTCTTCATCTTAAAGTCATAGTGAGGTATTCAACCTGCAGCAAAAACTCTCACCTCCCTGCAAGTTTTCAGATGGCTCCTAACACCTGTTTGAGCTCTATGCATTGAAGAATACAGCAGCTTAGTATAATAAAACAATCTCAAAATTACATATGCCATTGGCTAGAAACACTCAAAGTTACCGGTTCTGTCTCAGACACTTCAAGCAATAAGTCAGCAATATTTAGTGTATGGAATGATTGTAAGGTATCTGCTTCTCAGTTACTTCAAGCAATAAGTCAACAACAGTTGGTGCATGGAATGACTGTAAGGTATCTGTTTCTCATGTACTTCGAATAACACGCCTGGTAAACCATCAAATGGTTAAGCTAGAAAAAAAGTTTACTGGCACTTCCTGTTGAGCTTTTCCGGTACAGAATATCAAAAATGTAGAAAGGGTAGGTCGACTTTTCATCAATTTATTGTCAATCTGTAAATATTTTGTTAAAAAAAGAATGTCATGCCATAGAAAGTAAATGAGAGCTTTCTCGTTCATTACTCGGACCAATGTAATTTAAAATGACATCGGAATGACTTTTCTCCCACTGGTAAGTGCAGCTAGCTCACTGAGTTTTTGACAAAATGAAAATGAGTTATCAATACGTAACGTATATATCAGTATATAAGTGTTCTTCTTCGTCACTATAAACGTATAATAACAGTTTTTTTTTATCTATTTCTTACCAGAAGAGACATATAATACAATTGTATTATATGTCTCTGTTCTTACTAATATAATTTTATTAAGCTGAATATGTTATAAAGTATGTCAGGTTGAGATTGTCTGGTATCGGTTGTGATATTCTGGAACAATGTTGAGATTTCCTGTCTAATAAAACTTCCAACTAGCTAATTATCAATTAGATACGACCGTCAAAATTCGTGAACCCTCTGTATAGTGGTTGTCATTATAGCTTGTTTATTTGTGTAGATATTAGTTTTGTATGATAGAGTCCTGTCGGTCTATTAATACAGATACTAAAGCGTAGTGGTTTTTAAAGCCTATAAAATGAGATGTAAAGTCTAGCGCTAAAGATCTGACAATGTTAAGTAAGCGCTAGAGAAATAAAGTCTAGCGCTCAAGATGTAAGGTCTAGCGCTGTAGATGTAAAGTCGAGCGATGTAAGTATTGGGTAGCAATACACAGGAATTATTTGAGTATTAAATATTGGTATTGGTGTTCTAGATGGATGTGTCCGGTGCCTACACAATGCCAATACGAAATTACAGTATAATTTGTGTTCAGAAAATTGTATATAAATAAAATTTACATTTGTGGCATTTTACATTAGAAAAAGATCATTTGTATTAAACTAATTAAGCCTTTAAACTGAATTTTAATATTCAATATTTATAATTTATCATTGTGTCCGTGTGTCTAGCTACAAAATGCATGCCAACTATTTTTTTGCACCGGAACCTTGTCACTAATCCATTTTTTATACGCTCAAACTTTTCAATTCAATTTTATCGAAAAATTATGTTAAATGCATATGGTTTTCATTTGACATCTAGATAGATAAATGTCAATGATGTCACTCAAATGGATTGAATTTCTACTTTAGACCATATTTTGGGGACATTTGTGACATTTTTATCCCCCTTTTTGCAATATTTTGTATTAAATAAATGCAAATTGTTTCCTTTGTAACACCTAAATAAACTCATCATAGATACCAAGATTGAAATTTTGTATTTGCGCCAGAAGCGCGTTTGGTCTACAAAAGACTCATTAGTGACGCTCGAATAAAAAAAAGTTAAAAAGGCCAAATAAAGTACGAAGTTGAAAGCATTGAGGACCAAAAATTCCTAAAAGTTTTGCCAAATAAGAGAGATTATATTTTCATTTTACCTATTGTAAATCAAATCTATGGGAGATGCTGTTTCCATACATATGCACATACATGACATAACAGTAAGCCTTATTTGTAAGGAAGCAAGGCAGGACTTTTAATCTACAGCTCTGAAAATTAAGATCTACAGCGCTGGACATTGCATCTACTGCGCCGAATTTTATACGTACAGCGCTTGACTTTAAATCTTCTGCGCTAGACTTTCTATCTCGTTAGCTCAGTAGACTTTAAAAAATAACTCTTTATTATGTGTATTAGTCCAACAAGACTCCATATAAAACTAATGTCAAAACCAGAAACAGAGACATATATACACGTGTTTTGTATATATATATATATATATGTCTCTGCCAGAAACAAGTTAAAATGACAACCACTATACAGAAAGTTCATGAATTTTGACGGTTGTATCCGATTGATACGTAGCTAGTTGAAAATTTTATTCGACAGTAGATTTCAACATTGTTCCATAATATTACAATCGATACCAGACAATCTCAACCTGACATACTTTATAACATATTCAGCTTAATAAAATAAAATTCGTAAGAAATAGAAAAAAAAATGTTATTATACGTTTGTATTGATTAAGAAAAACACCGAACTCACTGTCATTTTGTCAAAAACTCACTGAGCTGGCTGTACTTACCTGCAGGAGAAAAGTCATTCCGATGTCATTTTAAATTCCATTGGTCCTAGTAATGAATGAGAAAAGCTCTCATTTAGTTATCTATGGCATGACATTCTTCTATTTAACAAAATATTTACAGATTGACAATAAATTGATGAAAAGTCAACCTACCCTATCTATATTTTTGATATTTTGTACCAGAAAAGCTCAACAGGAAGTGCCAGTAAACTTTTTTCTCGCTTAAACATTTGGTTGAGATTTGATGGTTTACCAGGCGTGTTGTTGTTCGAAGTAACTGAGAAACAGACACCTTACAGTCATTCCATACACCAAATATTGTTGACTTATTGATTGAAGTGTCTGAGACAGTACCGGAATTTTTTAGATTTTTGGCCAATGGCCCATTAGTCAACATAATTTTTTTGTGGTTAGGTGTGTTTAAGCACTATTAAGACCAGGTCAACTATATTTAGTGTATGGAATGAATGCTAGGTGCATATGTCTCTCCATCAGGGTTCATCTAACCTTAATGTCTTTTTCGTGGATCATTGATACTGTTTAAAAGTTAATGTGATAGCTGTAGTAAAATAGTAAGACTGTTTTTAAAGGCTTTCAACATCAAATTCAATTGCATGTATCCTCAGTAGAGCAGGAGAGAAATCCAAGAGCGTGCACTCTGTTTTAACAGATCTAATGTAAAAGTTTTAGTCATGCTCGTTTTGATGAGCTCGACTTCGGTATTCAAATTTCTATCATAAGTACACGTTATAAACTAATCCCCAAGATTACATTGGCAACAATAGCTCTGGCATTTGCAGGTGTGTTAGAACTTTAGTCTCATCATATTCTTATTCTTTTTTATATTTGTATAACTGTAAATTGTTGATTCAATTATTTTCACTGGAGAAAATTGGATACCTAATTTGTTTAATTAACAGAAACTACAGTTTTTAACCCATAACCTCGAATTCACAAAATTTATTTCACATTTATTGAAGTTGTACACCTGGTGTTATAAAATTGTTCGATCAGTTTCTTCATTTTTTTGTATATAACGTGGTATTTAAGTAATTCTCAATTTTTTTTTACAAAAGACAGTCGCAATTAGGTGTAATTTACTCCTTCAATAGTTTTCAACCCTGATCCTTGAAGGTCATAAAAAGTGTGTAGGCATATTAGAGTTGTGCATCTCCTATTATTGAATTGACTTATACTGATTTTGCTTTCAACTTTTTCACTTATCATTTTGCCATGTATTTAAATGTTCACTATACACAACCATTCTTAAGTGTAACCTGCTCATTTCGGTCATAGTTAAATTTTTGTTGGGTTGCTGTCTGAATGACGTATACCAAACATCCTTTTATTTGTGTTATCAGAAGTACACAGATTTGAAAGTCAAATGCTTGTATAGGTCTTTAAATTAATAAAATCTAACAAATGATAGCTATATCAGTAATGTCAGCTATAACACTTTATTTAAAAGGAAAGACAAGTATTATGTAAGAATTTAAGAGGGAAAATATACTGTTTGCTTAACAGGTCAGCCAGACATAAAATAAAATTGTATCATATGTCCGGTTCAGCTCACCACACAACATGGATATATAAGATAAAATGTAACAGAATGCTTGCTTCGTATTTTATTCAGAAATAAGGAAACCAGAAAACATGTTCCAGTGATCGCCATCACTGTGTATTTCCTCTGTGCCGCTACGATGTTTTATGTACACACGGTCTCCTTTCATTAATTTTAGTACAATGTTAGTGCCACATGTGGAGCAGGATCTGCTTACCCTTCCGGAGCACCTGAGATCACCCCAAGTTTTTGGTGGGGTTCGTGTTGCTTAGTCTTTAGTTTTCTATGTTGTGTCATCTGTACTATTATTTGTCTGTTTGTCTTTTTATTTTTGGCCATGGCGTTGTCAGTTTGTTTTCGATCTATGAGTTTGACTGTCCCTCCGGTATGTTTCGTCCCTCTTTTTTAGCTGAACCTGTATGATATCCCGCTCCAGGGTACATTCCTACAGTTCTTGCAGATATTTGATAGAATCCTTTCCTTGGTGCTGTGAAAATTCCAGAATTTGGGTCATATCCTTTCCCCTCATTGGTCCAAACTTTATCATACTTAACAACTGCATGAGAGCCAATGGCAATGGCTTTTGTAGTGGACAATGAAGCTGTGAAAGCAATCACAATCTTCTTGCAGTTACAAGTTGACGGTTCTGCTAAGAACAATGTGTTTATAATTATACAATACATGTATCGGTTGCAGAACAGAAAGTTAAATGAAATGAAATAACAAAGATATTTTGTAGATTTAGTTTAGTTTGATCAAAGATTTTTATTGTAAGGTTATATTTATAGTAGACCCTTGGTTTGATGTATATATATGCTACTATTTGTCAGTTAGGTAGTGTCTGTGTTTCAAAGTGACAATTTTCCTTGAAATTTAGCAATTAGCTCAACAACGATTACAAATGTAGGTTTATAAAGCAGGCAAGTGTAAATAATTGTAAATTACCGGTACCGAGTATCACAGCGTTTTTGTTACATCCTTTTAACTTACTACTGACAACAAAATATTTTAACGTCAAAACTCTAAGATGGATTAGCTTTACATAGTGCTTTTTATATACATTCCTTTCCACATCATCATGAAGTTTTCATAATATAATACACCAGGGAAAATATATTATTTATAATTTGTTATCATTACATTCCTTACCTAAATTAGTCGTTTTATTTGGGAAAATATATGAAAAAGCTTGTTATATAAACAAATGTGACCAAGTTCTCAAGCTACTCTCAACTAACTGCTGTTCATTAACATATTTTGACTTTTAGAAAGCTACACAAAATTATGCATACAAAAAATGGGTGAAATGAATTAAAAAAAAAAGGAATCAGTAGCATAAAATTAGTGCACGTCATATAAAAATAACATTTGGTATGATTGCCAATGAGACAATTCTCCACCAGAGACCAAATGACATAGGAGAATAACAACTATAGGACACCGTACGGTTCAACAATGAGCAAAACCCATAAAAGGCCCTGAAATGACAAATGTAAAACAATTCAAGCGAAAAAACTAACGACATGATTTATGTACAAAACAATAAACGAAAAACAAATATGATATACAACAACAAACGACAACCACTGAATTACAGGCTCGTGACTTAGGACAGGCACATACAGAATGTGGCGGGGTTAAACATGTTTGCGGGCGCGCCAATCCTCCCCTTAACGTAGGACAGTGGTGTAACAGCACAACATAAGAACAAACTCTAAAATTGAAAAGGGCTTAACTCATCAGATCGATATAAAACACAAAAACAACTAACACAAACACAAAAGACACAAAGTACAGATCTGAGAGTACTTGCAGTTACTGAAAGTTAGTTAAAAGCAAATAGCAGATAATAAAAAAATCATGTATATTAAGCTAAACCATCTATCAGTATCGTATCCTATTTTGCTTCCATATAATGAATGTTCTAGACACATAAATTGCCGTGGAGGATAGAAGGTATAGGGTTCTATTCCCTGTCTTGGTCAAACAATTAAAAAAAACCTCCTCAGCAAGAACAAAACATTTAAGAATAAAAGCAAAAGCATTATGGTTCAGAGTCAGAATAATGTGTCCAGCTGACAGGTCTTTATGTAGACTGCTACCTTGTTACACAGACTTTATAAAACGTCACCAGTGTCTGAACTGAAAGTTGATGAACCAGGGTTATGTCAAAATCCTCGGAAGATACCAAGACCTTGTTGATAAATATTCCGTATCAACTTCACAAATAATACATGATGGTCATGAAGTATAGATTCTAGGTACTGACGTTGTTTATCGTCTTAATTACGTGTTTTAGTGTTCTTTTCTTTGTCTTTGTAAATTATTAACCTTTACTGTTTAGTCCATTTTTGGTAATATTCTTTTGGTGTGGCTCGGTACTTATACATCCAGCCATTTTATTATTGTGCTATGGTAATTTTTTGTTTTCCTGTCTTTCATTTTTGCTTATGTGCTTTGTCTATATGCTATTTTGTTTTTCTTTGTTGACATATTTGTTTGTTTTTATAGCGATTAAGATTATAACACAATGTTGACTGCTGTTCCCCTATTTTTGACATTTTTACCTATTATGTCTGTTTGTTTTGTTCACGCATTGCATTTAGCATTCATCAATCAATTCGATTAAGATACTTAAAACATATGCACACTGCTACTGCCAAATATAAAAAAAATGTATAAGAATTATTGTAATGTATTGTTTTAAACAACAAGTTACCAAATTACCAATAAGATTTTCCAAATATATATCAATTCCTTTAAGGTCAGAGGTTATTCACTTGAGCAACTAAATCAACTGAATTATTTTAACCAAATGCACATTTACATATAAGGATATAACAACACATCAAGTTTCATGCAATGACACTTCATTATAATAGATGAGCTGCTTTGACAGATGGGTGCTGGTCAGGTCAAGTAAAAGAACAGCATATGTCAGTAACACTCAATGAACAGTTATATATATAATGTCATTTCCATTATCACATTTGTGAATTAGCATGGACATTTGCTTATATGAAACCAACAATCAACTAAGCTTCATTTAAATATAATGATTGGTATCGATGATAATGCTTGCATATCATGATCCAATGTTCTACATAGTTTGAAACAACTGGAAAAACAAACATCAATAACAGAAAACACTGCAAGTGGCCTTATAGTGAAATAAGTATACAAACCTATTATTGAAAGTACAAAATTAGTATGCAAAATGCTATTGAAAGCAGAAAATGAGTATGGAAAAACAGTTGAAAAAACTTACCAGAACTAGGACCTTTTATCTTCATCTTTATATTAAGAAGATCTTGAAAGAGCCCATTCTCTTTAAAAAAAGATATACTTAAATGTACTTAGTTGTTATAGAATATATTTGTTCAAACACGTATACATTGTCATTTCATTTGTTTTCTTCTTTCAATGCCAAATTAATCTGGTTTAAATAAAAACTTACGAAGTTCAGTATCACAGGTAGACTCGACATTTACCATATGTGTCCATAATATGAGAAAAATCACAAGTGTCTTAAACATTGTGGTCAAGGGAAATAACTTGTGCTATTAAATAAATGCTTTGGGTGCAATTTTTTTTGCATCTCAACTTGTATTTATACTTAACTGAATCCTTGCAAGCTGTTCTATGTGTCTCTCATTAAATGATATATGATTCGTATTGATTATATGGACATGCAACTCAACTTTTTTCCAAGAATGTGTTACAAAAATATTTCTCTAAATCTTGTCATCCTGAAAATGATTTCCGCTGTGTGGCAGTTTGTGAATGAAGGACTTTCCAAACTTTACTAACTCTTTCATGATGATTTTTCATATGAAGACATCATAAAAGTTGGTAATAATTATAGCAAAAATGGGAATGATAAATGCCTATGACCCAAGAAGTTGAATAGGTTAAAACAACAGGAAAAACACCATTTTCTAAAATTCATTAAACGAAAAACAAAGGATATGGGTTATCCATCCATGACACAAAATCAGTACATGCACAGCACAAACAAAAAAACAAAAGCAAAGGAACAGCGCTTGTATTGCTGTTCTTCATTTAAAAGTCACAGTGATGCCTTCAAAACGGAGCAAAAAAAAGTAATTCAATAAATAAGTAATGAAAACAATGTAATTTCCGTTTCATGTTTTGGTAGTTACAAGGAAAAAAATGAATACAGCATTTTATAAATTTCATGCGTCCGAAGCACTTTTATGTATTTTCTTGATTACATTAAAATTATATTTATTATAATTGGAGTTTATTAAGAACTTGTCATCTCACTCTATTGGGCAGTTAATTGTATTTGCACACGGTCTATGACGTCACAGTGCACATTCAATTCTAATCTAATTTTGCTACGTCATTACTTCACACGATGTTTGTGTATGATATGTGTCTGCAAGTAAAACATGAACTTCTATTGTTTTGGTCAGCTCTTTGACTTATAACCGTGTTTTTTTTGTTTCTTTATTAATCAAGAAGGATTTATCATCATATAGAATAACTTTGCGTATAGTGATGTTTTTATAAATTGGACATATAATTATCTGTGTAACTCGTTTGTATCGTTATGGCTTCCAAAAGGAGGGATACTAGGAAAAGAACACGTGGTCCAGAACTAGACTCTAATTATCCGAATAATTGGTCATCGACAGAGCTGAAAGATAAATTAGCTTCGCTAGGAATCAAAATATCCGAAAACTTTACTAATAAACAATTAAGACGTATTTTCTTTGATAATAACAAAAGTAGTCCGGAAAATTCCGACAGTGGAAATACTGAAACAACCAACACCGGTGCAACTTTGAATGCTTCTCTAGCATCAAATGTAGAAGATGACGTTATTTTATCGTCTTCAAATACGCAAAATTCCGAACTTTGCAACAAAATTCCGGCAGCATTTACCTCGCGGATGAATACGGTGGAGCCTACGCCTTTACCATTAGTAGGTGCTTCTGCGCATCAAAACAACGCATTTCCGCCCAGGGCTGATCTCAATACGCTTGACTATGCTCTTGTTAATAACACCTAACAACTGTGTCAGCAAGTTATTGCCGGAGTTCCTAAACAGGCTTATAAATACAACTTACATTCCGCCATGAACTTTAACCCTGGGCCTGGATCAACATTTCCCGTTAACCAAAATACATTTGGTGTTCTAAATCCTACATTGAGAGAATTTGTAAACCCCAACCAGATGAATTTCCCGAACAGTTTCTGACCACAAGTTCCAATCTTTGCCATGCAAAACCAACAAGTGCAAATGTCAAAACATGGATATCCTGCAACAGCGTTTTCCGGTGTTGATATGGTATTTCCAGAGATTCGCACTAAAATTATCTCAGGTAAAGACATCAACTTAAACATTCTCCTTCTTCCGAATTATGAAACACCCAATAACCAAAAGTTTAAAGAAAACGATGACCGTTTAAAACGAAATTTAACACTAGACGAGTTTATTATAGCTTTTGGAAGATACAAAAAAATAATGTGTCAAGTATTTCCAAATTGCGCATAAGAATTAGATTCTTACCTATCCCACATCACCGAAACCGCTAATGTGTGGCCAGCAAAATTTTTTGAATACCACAAAATGTTTAGTGCTAAATGTTTAATTATGTTACAAGAAAACAACATTAAAATTGACTGGTCTAGGGGTGATTTGGAGTTGAGACAAATGGTTTGTGCGGGCTCAACAGTAAATATGTGTAATTTCTGTTCATCAACACTACACAAATCATCTATGTGTCCAAATAGCAGGGGATATCAGAATTCTAAAATTCAACCTCCGTATCAAGACAAATATGGAAGAGATATTTTGGTTCACGATGGAATGCAAATTTGCAATAATTTTAATCAACCAAAAGGTTGTGTCAAACCTTACTGCCGATATGCCCACGTGTGTAAAACCTAGGCATTATTTTGGACACGATTAATATGCAGGCTAGACTTCCTTTAGACAAAGTAAGCAGAATCACACAATTCATAAGTTTTGTTTTAGATAAAAATCGTGAACGCGTAGAGAACTCCAACAATTACTTAGACATCTTAACTTTGCTACAAGAGTAATATTGCCAGTTAGGGCATTCGTTACTTACCTTTATAGACTGATGTCTTCTGTCAAAGAGAGTCACCACTATGTTCATTTAAATAAAGAGTGAAATCCGATTTGACAATGTGGCTACAATTTTTGTCAACGTGGAATGGAATGAACATATTCTATGAATCTCATTTAACCTCTGCAGCGGACATGCATTTATTTACGGATGCTTCATCTACCATTGGTTTTGGAGGTTTTTATCAAGGGAAATGGTTTTGTTACACTTGGCCAAAAGACCTTCCAACTATTTCAGATAAAACTCTATCTATTGCTTTTTGGAGTTATATCTATCGTGGTGTCAGCTGTTTTATGGGGAAAAGGATGGTCGAAAAAGCGTATTTTATTTCACTGCGACAATCTGGCGACTGTTATTATTCTGACTAAAGGTCGTTCAAAAGATCCTATAATCATGAAATTGATGAGACGTCTTGTTATGTGTGCAGCAAAATCTAACTTTGCTTTTTACATCGAACATGTGCCGGGAAAAATGAACTTAATTGCTGACTCTGTATCTCGTTTACAGATGAACAAATTTCATCAGTTAGCATCAGAAGCAGAGAAAGTAGCAACTCCTTGTTCAACCCTGGAAGAGATTATTTGGACATCACAGTAGAAAATTTACAAGATTTCGCTGTTGCAGATTCAACCAAAGCTTTGTACAACGTGGGATATGAACATTATCTTAAGTTCATACAACTACAAGGATCAACTTGGTCAACTTTCCAGTTACCACCTGTTTCTGAAAACTTGTTGATGCGTTTTATAGCCTTTTGCGAAACTCATAAGCATCTGAGATATTCCACCATTCAATCCTACCTATGTGGCATACGTTTCTTTTACTTACTAAAAGGGGGCGTTAATCCATTATAGAACTTTGTCGGTTTTACCTATAACTTTTGATATTTTACACAGAATGTGTTTTTTACTACGCAATTGTATTTTTGATAGTTTTACAGATGTTTTAATAGAAGCTGCATGTGTAACAGCTTTTTTCGGGTTTTTAAGATGTGATGAATTTTCTGTTCATGAAACAAAAAAATTTGATCCTGAATCAAATTTGTGTCTTAGTGATGTTCAAATATCAAATGACTGTATTTTTGTGCACCTAAAGAAATCTAAGACTGATCCTTTTAGGTATGGTATTACTTTTCTTTTTTTTTAAACTCTTCAGATATATGTCCTGTAGTTGTACTTCAAAAATACTATAGACTCAGAATGAGTTTTTTTAGCAATTCTGAGTCCTTTTTTATTACTAATAAAGGTGATCCATTGTCAAGAAATTTTTCAGTTCTCATGTAAAATGTACATAAGACAAATTAGGATTATCTAGTAAAAAGTATAACGGCCATTCATTCAGAAGTGGTGCTGCAACTACTGCACAAAGCACGACTGGAAGATCATCTTATTCAAATTTTGGAACGATGGTCCTCAGATTGTTATACTAAATATATTCATACCTTTCCAGATATACTTAGACAAGCTCAAATTCATAAGACCTCTACTTTGAACAATTAACATTTGTACTGACAGCAAGGAGTGGATTGATTTTTATTTTTCTCATTATTCAACTTGGGGCTACAGCTGCAAGCATCTGTATTTGGCTTTTTCGATACCAATTTTTTAGTCAATCTATAAAAAAAATATCTCAATTCCAAGTTTTAAGATTTAGCTAGAGTTATCTCCCTTTGCATATGGAGATAGAACATTATACATTATTGGTTTTTACTATGCAGTTGTATTAGTCCCCAGTTGCCATATTGTAAATAAATTTACATGTTTTATATTCTTGAATAAATAATAGTTTAGTACTAAGTCTTTGTATATATTAGTATACTTCTCATCACACTTAGTTTATTACAAACTGCAGACATGTGTCTTTTAGAAATTGAGATTTGGGTTTATGCATATGAGACAGCAACTCAAGGCAAGAATTATCATTTCTGTGATAAAAGAGTGGTATGGGTAAAATGAAAGAGACATTAATTTGGTATTAGATATAACCACGCTATATAATTGGTCTAGAACAAGTGAAGTCATAAAATTAAAATTAAATTTATTATAATTGGAGTTTATTAAGAACTTGTCATCTCACTCTATTGGGCAGTTAATTATCCTTGCACACGGTCTATGACGTCACAGTGCACATTCAATTCTAATCTAATTTTGCTACGTCATTACTTCACACGATGTTTGTGTATGATATGTGTCTGCAAGTAAAACATGAACTGCTATTGTTTTGGCCAGCTCTTTGCCACCACCTCCCCGCCACTCTCCTTGCTGTCAGTGCCATGGGGACTTTCATTGTTTTATTTTGTTTTTAAATTTTGTATATGTTGTTTCATAGTTTGATGTTAATATTATATACTTGCTGTTTATTGTTAGTTATTTTATTTGATTAAGAATTTTTTATTTTCTTTGTACTGTAATGAC